GACATCACGAAGTTTCCTCTGGCCAAGGGACTGATCCATAACTTTTCTGATCATGTGCCCAAAACTGCAATCTTTACACATGCAAGTAGTCCCATTGACTGCACTGGGACTACTCACATGAGTAAGGATTGCAGGAACGGACCCTTGTGCCTCACCATAAATGCACACGGTGGAAATTATATAGTCCAATAAGACCTGAGCTTTTCAGATCAAGAAACAAGCAAGCAAATCAGTCCACATGATCCCTCCTCATCCTTACCTCAAAAACACCCTTAGTGTCTTTAGTGCCACACTTCCTACTTTTCCAAAGATTTATCCATCTCCAGCTGACATTTCATCTAACCCTATTCTCTTGTACTTCCTGCCAGCATCTGACATTGCGAATGGGGTTGTATAAAATAAGAACCGAGTCAAAGCCAAATTTCAAACTGAACCTATCCCCTTCCCACCCACTCCTTTCCTGTATGTGCACGCGCATGTACCCAATTACTTTCCCTCATGCCTCAGCTTTGGTGGCTTTGCCCAGAAGCAGAAATACCATTAGAAAAAGCTACCTTTGTGCTGTGTCTAGCTTAGAAGAACCCAGATTTCTAAAACAGAGGGATCTGGATAAATTCACCTATCTTAATTACTAGTTGCTTATTGACTTGAACAGGAATTCTGTACCTTTTGAGGTTCCCTCACCACTAGTTGTGAACTTGTTTCTTATTCCAACTGAAAATAAAGGGGGTAGGGGAATATCCAATCTAGAATATCAGTGCTAAACTTCATTATTCTGTGAAGAGGGGTTTTGGATTCAAATCCCAGTATCTGTTTGGATCTGGTTTTGAATCCCACTGAAAGGGGCCCCATTTTTAAAATCTACTTTGGCTGCGGCTCAAACTAGTGGAAACCTTTCAGTGGGTCTCACAAGACTTCTATGATTTTCTGCTGAAATTTCATAAGAACAGCTTGTAAGAGTTTGGCAGCACCAAATCTAAGCCTGGGCTTATGTTTGGTTCACACAAGACACTGAACTCTGAATTCTAGACTAAACCACATCCAAATATCACCTCCTTAGCCCATCTTAATTCCATTTTGTGCACAGAAATTCTGGCTGAATTGCTTCAACTTCAATCCATAACCACTTCTCCCCAATTTAGTTACTTTCAAAAATCTAACAGGCAAATATTATTTTTTGCCAGATCTCCTTATGAGTAGTTCCTTCCACAGCCCTCTATGGTTAAGGGTCAGCCTATGTTTCCACTGTAGCTACGGTTGCACTTAGGTGACTGTCACAGGTTTGGAGATCTTTATGCATTCATTTAAAATAATAATAAAGCAGAGGCCCAGACTGAAGAAAGAAAACAATGTTTTCCAGGAGTCAGATATTCTGTGACTGTAGCGACATGGCTGAACTGGGGAGCTCTCTCAGGCAGAGCTTAATGGCATTTCTTCGAAGATGACAAAAGCTTATTTCAGCTTATACGTTTAACAGTATCCACCACAATGGCTAATAAACAGCCTCTATTCCCACTACCATAAAGATGTTTAAAATTCCTACCATTCGCTGGAATGGTATGTGCAATCTTCACCCAATTCTCAGCCTTTGCTTTTGTTAGCACTTTGAGACTCGCCTTTCCTCCTATAATCTATCCAGTTCCCCACTTCTTTGTCTGACCTCTTAAGACACCCACCTTGAAGCCTTTTCCTTACCCTTGATGCACTTTTGCATCACCTTGTTTATCATTATACTACGTGTATTTATTGCGAGAGCAGTGGGGCATGCCTATCCTTGGTGGATGCAGTCATTCTTCATTGAGCACTTTCTGTTGTCTCTATTTCTCCTGTGTTCTGTGCTGTATTTCACCCACCATTGCTGGCATTCCACAAATGTATGCTTTACTGGAAGTCTACATCTTCATTCGTCTCCCTTTTTGGTCTCACTTGCATCTTAATTAGACATGTGATTAGATTATGATTATTATTGTTTGTGAGCTCCCGTGCACATTCATTCCACGGTCACTCCATTACTCGGTACTAAGTCAAGAATTGCTCTGTAGGGAGCAAACTTTGCCTTCACTTACAGCCATCAGCGCATGCGTGCAACTGAGGACTCTAGATTTCTTAGGGGGTGCTAAACATGCCTATATAGGTCAAAAGAAGTTTAAAATATCATGTCTGCTGCATGGGGATCAAAAACTGGGCTGGAACCTCACAAACACATAATGTCTTGCAAGATTTCCAGCACTTTCTGCTTCTGGTTGGGCAGGAAGAACTATCCCCAATGTAAGTCCACAGCCTATTCATTATATTTTCTTGGATTCATAGATTTTAAGTCCAGAAAAGACCATTAGATCAGCTAGTCTGACATCCTGTACATAACACCGGCCAGAGAATTTTATTATTCCTGTATTGAGGCTAACAACTTGTGCTTGACTAAAGTATATTCCATATTGCAGCATTCCTGCCTTTACGTCTAGCGTAAACATAAAAATGCAAAAGATACACGACACCAAAATCTAATGGTCTGGAAAAGGTAATTAGTATTATTTGCATTACTGTGGCTCTGCATGCTGTCCAAACACATAGTGAGAGACAGTTTCTATCCCAAAGAACTTACAATATCAATAGATAAAACTTTTTCAAAAGTTCAATTAGTTTGAGGCTAACTTTTGGGTTCTGCTATTGGATCTTATTTACCCTGAATCAGTTTGCCCTTCTCTAATACTCCTGGGATGTTCTGGGCTATAGCAAGGAAACCTTTCAATGTAGTGCGTGTTGTTGAAATATTGCTAAATCCTGACTTGAAGGATAAAGCATTTATCTTTAGAGCAGGGTATGAAAAGGTAATTACTATACATTTTGTAAGTTTCTGGGCCTAAACTCACATATTCACACATTAAAGTAGACACTGGTGCTTATTAAGGCCATAAGAAAATAGGAAGCTAATAGTTTATATTTCAAAACATTTTATACACCTTGATTAATCTTCACAACACGTGAAAGTACTTAAGTATTATTCCCCTTTCACAGAGACACAATGGAGACCCCGAGGTTTAAGTGCCTGTTGCATCTCCCACTGAAGTTGTAAGCAGGGTCTGAATGAAGTTTCCCTTGACGTCTGGTGACAAATTGGGGGGGAAAGACTTCTGGAGCAGACCATGTTTGCATAGACTCAGCTACTCTGCCTAGGTGTTCAGCAGACAGAGCTGCTTTGCCAAAGTGATCAATTTTGTCTGGTTTTGGGTTACAATTAACTTGAGTAGGGACAATCTTCACTCGTTAATGTATTTGCTTTCCACAACCAACTCTCTGTACAACTTTTCAAGACTGATGTACCCGAATACTTGGACGCTAATATCTAAACTGTATTGCTAAATGTATTCACCTAAATTTGGGTTTATTGCTGATTATGCACTGTATGTATCTTATGACTTTTAAAACAAACTTTGTATTTGTGGATAATCTAAGCACTATACCCAGATGTACAGACACTCTTTTCTTAACCTGTTTATTATATAATTGTTTAACATTAGCTTTAATAAAATTTTTAAATTTGAATGTAGGGGTAATGAAATGCTATCCTTTTTGCATGAGTAAAGGGCAGCAGAACTGTACTTAGCATGCCCTGATCAAGGGAGTCACCCTAAATTGAACCTCACTTTCTAAAATGGGGGAAGGGATGCTAAAGCCCAGTGGAAGTCAGAGGGGGTGGGGACAGGTGGTCCTAGACACCACTTGACTCTCACCTCTCTAGTGTTTAAAGGCAAGCAAATTGGACAGTGATTGCAATGAGCTGTCTCGGGGCTAAGCCTTAGAACTGATGCGGGGACAGTGTTGCAGTGAAAGACAATGCAGAAGTTACACTAGCAGTAAGTTTCCCTGTGAATCACTAAGCGCTAGAATCATCAAGACCTGGGCTAAGTGGTGGAACCTCAGAATGCGGCAAACAGCAGCAGTGATAGCAGCGGCAGAGCTGAGCAGAGGCAGAGAGATCAGGGGCAGTGAGCGGCGAGCGGCAGGCGGCAGCAGAGATAACAGGGGCAGAGAGCGAAGTCTAAAGCAAACTGCAAAGAGTTACAAAGAGATCTCACAACACTGATTGACTGGGCAAGAAAATGGCAGATGAAATTCAACGTTGATAAATGCAAAGTAATGCACATTGGAAAACATAATCCCAATTATACATACAAAATGTTGGGGTCTAAATTAGCTGTTACAACTCAAGAAAGAGAACTGAAACATCCACTCAGTGTGCAGTGGCAGTCAAAAAAACCTTACAGAATGCTAGGAACCATTATGAAAGCGATAGATAAGACAGAAAATATCATAATGCTATTATATAAATCCATGATATACCTACACCTTGAATACTGTGTGCAGTTCTGGTTGCCCCATCTCAAAAATGATGTGTTAAAATTGGAGAAGGTACAGAAAAGGGCAACAAAAATCATTAGGGGCATGAAACAGCGTCCATGTGAGGAGAGAGTAAAAAGACTGGAACTTTTCAGCTGGAAAGGAGAGAGCTTGGGGGGATATGACAGAAGTCTATAAAAACCATGACGAGTGTGGAGAAAGTAAGTGTTATTTACTCCTTCACATAACACATGAAACAGAGGTCACCCAATGAAATTAATAGGCAGCAAGTTTAAAACAAACAAAAAGGAAGTACTACTTCACACAACGCACTCAGCCTGTGGAACGTGTTGCCAGGGGATGTTGTGAAGGCCAAAACTATAATGGGGTTAAAAAAACAAACTAGATAAGTTCATGGAGGATAGGTCCATTAATGGCTATTAGCCAAGAGGGTCAGGAATGCAACCCCATGCTCTGGGTGTCCTAAGCCTCTGATTGCCAGAAACTGGGAGTGGATAACAGGGGATGGATCACTTGCTAATTGGAATGTTCTGTTAATTCACTCTGAAGCACCTGGCACTGGCCCCTGTCAGAAGACAGGATACTTTGTGAGATGGACCATTGGTTTGACCCAGTATGGCCGTTCTTATGTTCTTAAGCAGCCAGCAACGGCAGAGAAAACAGCAGCAGCAGCGGTGAGGGGCAGCAGAGGCTGTGGAAGCAACAAGACATTTGCTGAGATGGCAGCAGCAGCAGAGGCATGGCTCAACATTCCACCCCCTTTCAAGGAGCAGGAGGTGAACCCATGTGAACACACCTTTGAACGCTGGGTCCTCGCTGACTGAGAACAACCAAATGTGAGTGGGGAGGAGTGGAGGGAAAGAGGAATGGCATGTTGAAATGATAGTCGTTCATTGGACTTTCACACCGCAAGGTGGGAAATTGAGGCCAAGGACACTGTCCAATGTACTGTGGGGTGGAGGTTTGCTTACGGTTATATGATTTCAAATCACGGTTGTGGTGTTTTCCCAAATTAATGCTGGGTGCCCTTTCCCTTTTAATATAATTTTTCCTTTTGCTATATACAGAATCAATGCTCACGAGTGGGGAAGTATTGCCTCTTTGGGCTGGTCTACACTACTGCAGTAAGTCGACTTAACGTATGCTACTTCAGTTATGTGACTAACGTAGCTGATGTAGCTTAGGTCAACTTTCTGCAGTGACTACACAGCGCTGTGTCAACGGGAGATGCTCTCACACCGACTTAGACTCACAGACTTTAAGGTCAGAAGGGACCATTATGATCATCTAGTCTGACCTGCACAACGCAGGCCACAGATCCTCACCCACCCTGTAGCGGGGTGGTTACCCCGCTCCTACCTGA